TGGAAATACTCGAATCGGCTGCTTAGTTCACTTACGTGTAAATTCTTTAGTATGTCCTTGGATGCAAACAATTGAGAGTCAGTTAATCTCTTAGTAAGGAAAATTGACATTTTTCATATCATGTTTCAGAGATTGGCACATCGCTTAAAAAAAATACAGTTTGTTTTACTATTTTTCTGCTATTCTGTTAGTATCGATTCATGTCTTCGCTCATAAACTCACTTGAATATTAATATGGAGGTTCCATGTTATTAATGAAGATATAGCGTCACGTTATTTTATATTTTAACTCGTCAAAATCATATACGATGTATAATAAGAGTCACTCACTATATGCACATACATTTTACACGATAAAAAAAAGAAAATCATTGAAGCATGAATATATAACCAAAGGATAGGTAGTAACGCTTAGTATATACTCACGTCTACTAGTGTATCGAGCAGTGAACAGCCACGTGGAAATAAATAAAATATTTTATACGATACATATAATATTGGAATGAATAAAACGTGGATGATATTACACTGAAAATTTTTTTCGTTTTTTGAATACGGTGTTAAATAAAATTCGATAGGGCGAGTAGTGCAATGTATTTTAATTTTTTTGAAGGTTTTCAGCAAAAAGAACTCGATTTTTTTTCGATAGTCTCATTACATTTAATTTAAATAAATATTATTATATTAGTAACGTTAAACAAGAAAGTTTAATATAACTCAAATATTTCGTTAAAATCTGTTTCATGAATTTCATTGACTGTGGAAGCTGTCTCTTGTAGTTCTTCGAAAGCTAATAAAGGTTCTATAGCCTGAGCTAGTTGTCGAACAGATGGATTAGTAAATAAAAGACCAATGTCAACTTTATTAGAGACTTGCTGACGAATCAATGTAAGTGCAAGGATAGCACTCAAAGACGTTCCACCAAGTTGACCAAAAGGAACATCAACATGAGGAGATTCAATATGTAAAGCTTGAGTAAATATATCTTGTAACTGTTGTTCTAAGGTGGTGCGCGGTACATTATTATCATGAGTATGACTTGACGACGACAAATCAGGTGGCGGAAGAAGTTTTCGATCTATTTTTCCATTTGAGTTCAATGGTAATTTGTCAAGTATGATAAAGAAAGATGGAATCATATGAGGTGGTAAATGTGATTGACAATATTCGCGTAATTTGTTCTCATTAATATCAAAACTTTGAACATAAGCAACTAAATGATCATCACTCCATTTAATGACAACACAAGCAGATATAGATGTAATATTAAGTAAACATCGTTCGATTTCACCAAGTTCAATTCGTTGTCCACGTAATTTGATTTGATGATCTTTTCTTCCTTGAAAATCGAGAAGGCCATTATTATCTATTCTAACAAGGTCACCAGTTCGATAAAATAGTTCACCATCTATTTCAACAAGAGCTTTTGTAGTTAAATCTTCACGCCCAAGATAACCAGCAAAGACACTCATACCACCAACAAATAATTCTCCTTCTTCATTAATAGATGTACTTTGTAAAAGTTTATTTAAAATCAAGCATCGATAGTTAGGAAGTGATCTACCAATTGGAATGCTTCTAGAATTAGCTTTAACATCAATAAGATGAAGTGTACAGGCGATTGTTATTTCTGCAGGACCGTAGTAATTCCATACATTATATTCTGACACATTATTATTTCCAATTAGAGTACTCAGTTTAACAGGGAATGGTTCACCTATAGAGATAGATAAAGTAGAACAACATGCTAAAGTCCACCCCTAAGCTACTTACCGCCACTACAAAGTGATCGAAAATATTTTGCAGTAGTTGTCTTGTTAGACTGTTCGATAAATGTAAAAAAGCTTTGAAGTGAACTTGGAACCATAAACATATATGTAATTTGTTTTATCTGCACGATATTGGAGAGATAATTAAAATCTAGTGTTCCTCCTGGATGAACCATAACCAATGTAGCTCCACGCATTAGAGTGCCAAGTATTTCTTGAACATGAATGTCAAATGAACATCGTCCGATCTGAACTACAGTATCATCTTTGTTGAATACGTCCATCGTGACTAATGAGTTCATGAAATGAATGAGATTTTCATGGCGTGCTTGAAGCTGTTAGAATATAGAACAATGAAAACTAAGGTAGAAATGCAAATGTCAATATACCGCTTTCGGTATTCCAGTTGAACCACTTGTGAAAATAATATAAGCTATATCGTCAAATGTGACTCTTATACTTGATAGTTGATCAATATCAATATTCGTTTCCATATTATAAACAGTTAATATTAAATCAATACCAAGCGCAACAATATCTTCATCGAGTTTGGTCTTAGTTAAATGATGAACAAGAACAAGACGACTTTGTGTTTGTTGTATGAGTGCATGCAAACGATGTTGTGGATCTCGAGGTGACAACGGACAATAAACACCACCAGCCATTTCAATACCCATAATACCAATCACCTAATCACAATTAATCTCAAACTCACATTAATTGTTACTCATCTTAATTAACTTACCATTGACAAACTTCGCTCAACACATTGACATACGACCTCACCTGGAGTGATAAAATATTCATTAAGAAGAGTTAAAGATAATACTTGAACATAATACAAGAGTTCACAATATGTCAATGATTGTTCATCGAGTTCAACAGCTAGTTTTTGTGGATGTTTCATTACTTGATATACAAATTCAT